TTTGTGTGTGTTACCACACAAGGAACTCTTTTGTTTCCTAAGACTTGAAAACATGCCCAGGAAAGGTCTTTCATCAAGATCATACAAATGTCATTGCTGTGAAGGCATTTCTGTAATGTCCTGCAGTGGAACATTTAAAAAGCCAATGAATGGCTACTGCAAAGCTGCTGCCATACTTTATGAAATATCATGGGACAGTTATCATCAGCCAAACTAAAGGGCTAACAGACTGGATTTCTTCATGAGCAGTAATAGTAGACATAAACGGACATTTTCTTTTGAGGCCTCAAGCAGAGAAAAAGTAAAGTTTTACACAGAACTATCAAGATAAAGATTAGATATGAAGATATTAGGAAAAGAGTTGCAAGGAGAACATCATCATCTGGCAATCCTGGTCAAACTGCATGGAGGATTTCAGCAGACGGTTCTGCATCGGCTACAGAGTTTGTTACATCTTTCACATTGCCTTCTATTCAATTTCTGAGCAGACAATGAGAATTATAACTCTAAGAATGCAACATTTGTATAAAGCTTGACTTTAAAAAAAATCAGGTCCATGCAATATACAGACTTAAAGACAATAAACAGGAAATAATTAGTTTTCTTATATTAAATCAGCCTACCCCAATTTAATAGACCCTAGCTATACTAAATATCAGCTCTTGGAGTCCTTAGGCAGCATGACCAACTTTGAAACATTCTGGCTGGGAGGGAGGATTATTTGTAACGGTAGGAAATATTCTGGAGGACTAGAAATTCATCGTCTTGTATTCTGCTCCAATTCTGTTGTGATCGGTCACACTTTCAATGACAGCCAATTTGGGAATACAAATTGCCCCCTTCAGTGAAATTTGAGACAAGTCTAGTGCTAGAAGACTGGAGAAAGGGAAATATTCTTGTCTCCAGAAAAGGAAGAAAAGAGGATTTAACTAGTCACAGAATTTGCTATTGATAATGGGAGGTAAAACTCTGAAACATATTATTAAGCAATCTTTTTGGGGAGCATGTATTTGGCAGAAGTCATGATTAACCAACTTGATCCCAATTTTGGAAAGTTTAATTGATCACAGGTGTGCTACCGTTAAATGGATGTAAAGTTTGCTGAACAACTGTACGCAATAAATGTATATCAGTGACTCTACAACAGTCTGGAAGAAGTGATGAGTGGTATACTTCAAGAGGCCATTCTAGACCCTGCAGTGTTTAATATATTTATAAATACTTGAATGAGAGATTAAATAATAGGATTATCAAATGCGTAGATGACACAAAGATTTGGGAGGGAAGTAGTAAACAGTTAAGAGGATTCCATTCAGATCCTTTATTTCAATAACAAAAATCAAACATATGAGAATAAGAAACATGAGAAAAGAACTAAGGGTTTTGATATATCAAAGGCTGAGCAAGAATTCAATAGTGTGATGCAGCTGCTAAAAAAGTTGTAAGCTGTATCATTTTATTTATGTGTGTGTGTGTGTGTGTGTGTGTGTGTGTGTGTGTGTGTGTGTGTAAAGAGAAGTAATCATTCTATACATTCTTCATTGGTCAGGCCACACATAGAACGTTACATCTAGTTTGGTTACCAGTTTAGGAGAAACAGACAAACTGCACCATTATGGAGGAAAGCAACCAAGATGATAAAGAACCTGTAAGGAAGTATGAAAAACAGTTGGAGGCACTGAATGTATTTAGCCTGGAGATGGGAGGACTGAGGGGGATATATGATATCAGTTTTCATAATTCTTCTCCGCTGTGTTGATCACAGTTTGGATATTGTTGGTAGCAAGGTGGCTTTTCAGTACCAACATTACTCATATGGCTTTCACACAAGTCTATTCCTGACTACGCTAAGTTGTCTCCATTTCACAAATGAAAAACTGGTTGTTGCCTCTTTTAAACAAGAGATTGAGATACCATTCCCAATTTTTCACAATTCACCTGAAGAATTGCAACACTGTTTCTAACAACCTATGCTTTATGACAAAACTCACAATTATAGATCAAGCAAATAAGATGTTTGTGTGCTGTCCACAACCTATATTTGATCAACTTAGTTCACACAACACAGTACCATATATTAGCCAATCTCATTGTAGCCTAGCATATTATGTGAATCCAGCTTGTGCAGTTATATTTATAGCTTCCTTTATAAATCAGGGCCAAAAAACTAGATTAAGTACATCACAAATAAGTGAAATATTTTATGTAAACATAACACACCCCAAAAAATCATTCAGAAAAACCCCTAAGAATCCATGATCTTTATAGATTCCATGTCAAATCATTATCAAGTTGATTAATCCTTGCAGTTGTTTTCCTGCCAACATTCAACATTGAATCCTCTGGAGTAGATCTTCAGGCAGCAAAATGGCATCCCTAAAGACAAATCTTAACTTTCCTTGGAATTTACTGTTGCTTTTTAAATTGAAAGTTAAGATACAGGAGGGGAGAATAATGAGCAATTGGGGAATTTAGGGGAAGCGTCCCAGTAATAAAATTCTTCATGATTCCTCTGGATCTAGGCTTTTTTTGTTGAGAAATACCTGGTAGGACAAAAATTGAGCAGAATTTCAATAGAGTCAATTTTAAAAAAAAAAAAACCTCTCTGATTACATGCAATAACTTTTGTTGATCCTCATCCTGAACCTTAATACATTGCAAGGCTGAATCATAGTATTGAAAATAGGCTGTGGAGTTTGTTGGAGAAAATTTAGCTTTCAAGTTTTTCTTTATCAGTCAGAAGTTAGGCCAGCATTTAACAGGTATTTAATTTTGCCATTTGTGCTTTCATAACCAGGTTCACCATTAAGCAAGCTATTTAGGGTGCATCAATAAGAGATTTTTCTGGCAGGGATTCAAGATGCAAGGGTGGCATTCTTGTTAGTGGTATCACAGCCTTGTTTTGAATTCTGCAGATTTTTGCTGGGTAGGAGGCAATAGCACAACAGCTGTGAGAAATCCTGAGTATGTAATCGGTGGCCTTTTGTTCAGCAGTCAAAAAAGTCTTTCCTTGCCTCCCACTTTGGCACCAAAGCTTTAGAAACAGTTGCCCAGATACCTACAAAATCTTGTGCAATTTTGCTATATGACAGAAATGCTTTTCTCCTTGGTGGCTGATTCCCTTTTTGTCTCAATAAAGCTCCAAAGGACCAATCTGAGCTCGCATTTGAAAAGAAGAATACTAATTGTCAGGAAGCAATCAAAAAGTATAAGAGATGACGTATAAGAGAAGTCTTGCTTCCATTTTCTGTCAGAGGACTCTTATTATAATGGAAGAAAGGCACTTCAACACAGTATTCAAGTGGGATCTCATCAGGAACGTTGTTTGTAGAAAGCACTGGTGAAATTGCCAGATCGAAGCGAAAGAAATTTAAAACCCTACACTTCATAGCATAGCTGTAATGCCTTGCATCAGTGAGGTGTTTGTCCATCTTTTTTCTATTCTACTTTAATCATGGTAAATGCAATACTAGCAATTAGGACTGTTAATCTGATCACAGAAATCTCACAGAACAGTCTGATGCATGTTTATTTGGGAGCAAACCCAAGTGCACATAGTAAGGCTGCCTGTTAAATAAGAATACATAGGTTGATGAAAACAACCATTTTTTTCTTATTTCCATATGCATCGAGTGAAAAACAGATTCTGTTCTATCTAGCTTGATTTGCAGTAAAACAAATGGAACATTTTCCACTCCTGTTTCAGTTCATGGAAAGATCTTGCCATTTAAACTGTTAGTCCATTGCACACTTTTTCTAAGGATTTCTAAGGGTCTGATATTAAAATATCAGTGGTTATATCTTTCAGCATTAATAAAACTTGGTGAAGAGATTTTTTTTTCTATAGTAGAAGCAATTTCAAAAGATATGCACCAGCAAATTCTCACACTGAAAAAGAATCTTATTTGGAGTTCACTTAAAAGGGCAATTATTCTTGATGTGGTATTGTAATTGAATTGGCAATATAATGGAAGGCCAAATTGCTTTGCAAAGTAATATAGGTAGAATCTTACATAAGTTGAATTGAGGAAATATGTGAGGTCATCTATTGTCCCTATTGTATAAATCAGCCAATGTTACCAATGGATATTTCTCAAGAGATGTTTTGCTTTTTTACAATTGTTCTACAAATAGAATACTATTTAAATAGTATAGCATTAGCTTTGTTTTAGATTGTAAAGAGAATCATAATATTGAAGTTTTGCCCATGTTTAAAAAAAAACATTTTACGTTAAAGAGCACATACTTTTTTCTGGGCTATGAGTTTCTTACATTGATGGAGATTATTGTGTTGAAATATGGAAGTTGAAAAATCTAAAATTGCATTTAACCTTTTATGTACAACAGCATCAGATTCTGCTCCCATCTACCATATTTTGTGTAATATTTCAAACCAGCTGTGTGCAATTTTATATTGCTTATAACTATAAAAATTGTGTCCTTTGTATGGGATTCTGGCTGGTCTTATGTTTGATCCAAGTTAACAATCCAACATTTTAGAATTTAGATTCATCTTCAGTGATGTGGTTTTGAATATTTTAGAACTGTATGTAACTGTGAAATGTTACAAGCTACAATGTTGTCATATCCCTCTATGTCTTGTGAACAAAAGGATCAATATTACGGTAAACAGCGTACCATGTCATGTATTTATTATACATTTTACTGTCTTTTTTGGAAGCTTTAATTTTAGTAACCAATGGCATCTCCTTCAGGAGCAATTTCAACTAAGTCTTATCCTGATCATTCCAGCAAACAATTTGATCATTTCTCTTTAGTGAACACTATCAGCTCATATTTTGGGGCTGTCTTGCCTGAACTTCCTTCAAATCATGCCATAACATCTCAGTCATTCCAAAATGTGAATTTTTTTCAGCCACAGTCGTGTTGCATGACCCACATGGGATAATTTTACTCAAAGTCATGATAGATTGGGGCAGCCTATATATTTCATAAATAAATATACCAGAATTAAATATCAAAACAAAAACACTTTTAAGAAAAAAAACTAGTTTATTGCACTTATCTGAAAGCTTATGGGAAAAACCACAAGTCTATGGAAGTGAAACTATAATGGTAAACATTTCAGACTGTTAGAAGATACAAAAGAACTCATTGGGCTTAGAAGAGCTGTCAACACCAATTCATATTTATGAATCAAGTCAATCACACTATTTTGCACTGTATAAACATCTAGCAAACTAAGTAATTAATGAAAGAGGGGCGCATTTTTAAAAGTGTTATTGTGTTTATATACATGCAAACATTCATACATATTTTTGGGTGCACACAAATGCAAGTGTGTCATTTTTTCATTATTAGAGTATGAATATTTGTCCAGAAATGCACCATGGGGCCACTCCATTTGCTCAAAATTTCTGGACTTCAGAGAAGTGATGACATTGGAATCCCAGTTGTCAAAGGACTTCTAAAGTAATACACCAATTGAACTAGGAATAGATGGACAGCTAGTTAATTACAAAAATCCTCAGAGGCTGACTCAAATAGATGAGATCTCAGAATAAAACAAATGTAGCCACTTGGTCACTCCAAAATAAAAGAATCAACCAAGAACATAGCATTGATCATACAAGTGCTGCTGCTAATAAGCATCTCTATGGTGCCAAAATTAGTTCTTATGTGGATATTCCACCGATACAGGGTTGTATCAGGCAGTTTTAGAAAGAAAGAAAAAAATCTCATTATCTCCACCCAGGTTCATCCAGTATCACTTCAGTTAGCTCATTTGCAGATTCAATAATAGTTGCTTCAAATATTCAGGTCTCACATAAATATACTTATATATTAAAAAGTACTATAAATGAAAACTATTGGGATTACGTTTTGTTTTACAGTGTTCTTAAGAAATTCAATAATTATGACACATAAGCTGCAGTGATCAGTTAAATTATACATTTAAGCATCTCTGCTGTAAACATTTTAAATATAAGACATTGCAAGGTTTAGCTAATGTAGCTAAAATTTCCTATTATAAAGGCAAATCCTGATGCATACCACAACCTTTCTTTTGGGATAAGCTTCTTTAGTACTATAGTTAGATTTGATTATAAATTATGATACAAAAGGAAATACAGAACCTACCCTGAACACAGGCTTAATTCTGTCAGGCTAAATGCGGTACTGAATCTTACCCACAGAGCCACCCTCATTTTATTGAAATGGCTTATAATGTTGTGTTTAGCTCTCATAGTTATCTGTGGAACAAAAGCTTGAATTGTTTGGAAAAACATGTAAGGCAAGCTCCCCCAACCGGAAGCCCTCCAAGATACCTTACAACCAAAATGTCCACAAGTCTCCATCAACACGTTACACATGGCTGGGAATTTGGACAGTTATAATCTCATTTCACAAGAGACTCAAAGTTAGGGAAGAATAAGGGGAATGCTTATTAATGCTTTTAGCCCAGTTAATCAGAGCAAAAAAATTCAACAGAGCTCTGAAAGTTATAATGAAACTTTAATTTGAGCACTAAACTATGCAGCTCTTTCCACTGAAAAAAAAAATACAGTATTTTATTCCTTTCTATTAAAGGCATACCCATTTTTTCCTAAGAGATTAATGTCCAAGATTAAAAACTAAATAGTATTTTTCAGCAGCTGAGAAATAGATAATATAACAGAAATTCTTCCTATATAGTACAGACATTAGCTTGCATGCTACACCAAATTCATTTTGCTGTTAATGAGGTTAAACTGATACATTATAGTCAAAGTACAACTTCTAGAATAAAGATAAGTTCACAATTTCTTTAAGCTGCATTGCCTGCCTCACCTGAGATATACTGAACAAGACATTTCACTAAACAATTTGAGGACTACTGTATAAATTAGTCTCCTATATCTCAAAAAGGTAATGTTATAAAATGTTTGTGGCTTCAAAAGCTTGGCATTTCCCAAGTGACAGGATTCCCAAGGATGTGTTCTTACTTATTTACTGTTATTCACTTTATATCACTTCCCACTCATCCTCAAAATCATCAGAGTGAAACGATATAGAAGCATCATTGTGTTTCTGCATGTTATGAGAATGCTGGAATGTCTTTGTGAGCCGGTGAATGAGATTTCCTGAAGGACCAATTGCCCATAATTCATCTAGATGTGTAACTGGGAAACAGAAACAGCAAATTAGTTTTAGTATACAACATAGAAGAACAAGTGACTCAAGAAATCTAATTTATCTCCAACCAGAAAAATTTAAGGCTGAATTATATTTAAGAATATGGCCATTGAAATCAATGGGATTTGTGGTCAGCATTAACTTTTCTCATTGATTTAATGTCTTTGTACTAACAAAAATAACAACGGAGTGCTATTTGGATACCACTGAAACTGACAAAATCCCCACCAATCAATTACAAAAGGCAGCTGCTGTATTTGGAACAGTTTACATTCTGCGATGCTACCTTTAATACCAGAAAGCAACATTTGCCTATCCTAGGTCCTTGGTAAGGACTGGAAAGGTAGATTAAAATACCAAATTCAGTCTAAAAATCAGGCTGTGTGTGCAACCAATCAATAACAAATGAAACTTGTAAACTAAGATTGGAGAAAGAAACTTAGTCTCATTTTCTTTCCAACTTTGTCTAAATTAAAAAATAAACAGAAAACAGAAAAAGTGCAATGATTCAGTTGAAAGTAGTTGTTAGAATAGAATTTGCTTGATATCACTTTGTGTACTGATATCTGTTTGCATGATTTGTTTTGGTAGTGAATGGCTCATGTGTCCTACAGTAAGAAGTTAAGCCAATGGCAAATAAAAATCCAAATAAAAATCAAAACAATTAAATGTGATCTCTTTAAGGCTGTCTGGGGGATTTAAAATCTAGCTGTAGAGAGGAGTTGTGTGAAATTAAGATAAAATTGATTAGAATAGCTAGTATATTTCACCTTTTTGATCCTGAATAAACAAAATTCCTGCTATTATCCCCCCAAATAACATGCTAATGTGGGGAGGAAGGGAGAGAGATAGAGATAGACTCACCTGCCAAACAAGAAACATTTCCTGGAATCTTCTTCCAATAATCACCTGCAGGGTTTTTATCTGTGATTCCATATCGCCGTGCTATATCTCCATTTGGACAACGTGCCCATACAGTCTTCATGCTTATTACCAACTCACTTGCCTGAAGCCCTAAAAGCCAGGACATTTGAGGTACAAACTTTGAGATGGATACTATGCATAATGTATTCAGAAGAAACAAATCATTAGAATAAAGGAAAACAAAGCATTACAAAAAGGGTAGCTTCATACATTTTTTATCTTCACTGCTAAGAACTGTGTGTACGCTCCATGAAATATTTGAGTCCATTTATTTCTTTTTAATCTATTGGGCCTCACAACATCTTGTGAGGAGTGCCACAATTTAGGATGTTGGAAGAGAAAGGAGGTTTTGTTACATAATCAGACAAAATGTGTTATAAAGATTTAATTAAATTAATTAAGATAGGTCCAAGCATTGGCAATACAGACAGTCTTCCACTTACAACAGTTCATTTAGTGACTATTCAAAGTTACAATGGCATTGAAAAACGTGACATGACTGTTTTTCACAATTACCACCTTTGCAGCATCTGCATGATCATGTGATCAAAATTCAGATATTTGGAAACTGGTTCATATTTATGACTGTTGCTGTGTCCCAAGGTCATGTGATCACCTTTTGCAACCTTCTGAAAAACAAAGTCAATGGGGAAGCCAGATTCACTTAACAACCAGGTTATTAACTTATCAGCTGCAAAGATTCGTTTAACAACTGTGGCCAGAAAGGTCGTAAAATAGGGTAAAACTCACTTAACAAATATCTCATTTAACAACAGAAATTTTGGGTTCAATTGTGGTTGTAAGTTGAGAACTACTTGTACTCAAGTTACAACCAAAACCTATATTCGTTAAGTAATCTTACCTGGAACCTGGTCCCAATCTGTGCCTACTGGCATCTCCTCTGTAATTCCAGTGCGCACATGAATGTTCCATTTGTTGTCAATGGCCCACAGACTCTGATCATTAGGACTGGAGTACACTCTGATCAAGTGAACTCCGGCTGCCTACAAAAGTAAAACATATTGTTTGATGTTACAGATCCTATTTTGTGAATTGGCAAAGTAACTGAAGGAAGGAAAATAAATAAATGGATAAACCACTGATCAAATTAGTCAATTCTGGAAAAAGAAAATCTCAACGTCACCTAAATAAGTAGTTATATGTCTATATATTCAATGCAATTTCAGTAAGTTCAATTTTACTCCTCCACCAATAAGCATGCACAAATGGTAAAAAAGGAGAAAATTATTAGAAATTTCAACTAGTACAAAATAAAACTATGTTTAGGGAAATCAATGGTTCAGAACATGGATCACAAATTTTGTGCAAGTTATATTACTTATGGTGCTTTTCTAACCCAATCCAAAGGTTTTTTATATGTACATATATTTATGGGAATAACAGCCATAAAATACAACCCAAAATCTAGCAGTTAAATATAGTTTATAGTTAGTGAAATAAATACATGAATACATAGGACAGTGTGTAAGTGAATAGTATTTGTAGAAACTAAGAATATATCCATAAAACATTAATATAAAATTAGCCCAGTCCTTTAACATATTATTAAATCTAGTCATATAGACCACCTATTACTCCATCTTGCCAACCTGACTTTTTTACCTATCAATTTCAAAAGATATTGCTTGAATTTTAAATAGTGCCTTCACTCTTCAAAATCTTTCCAAATTTAGAATTCCTTTTCTGAGATATGGGTATTTCCCATTCATGTGAAGCTGATTAAATTATTGTGGGTTTTTTTTGCCACAATTTATGGAATCAGTTGATTCTTATTTTTAAGATGCCATTTTGTAACTTTTACAAATTATTTGATGCATACTGTTGTATAAATCAACTTTTTAGATTTATGGAGACCTTCCTGGTATAGTTAGCATTGATGAAACACAATTTTTATTAGCATGTTCCATCTTATCTGAAAACCAACTAACTAGGAAAGTTGGTTCTATGCATTTAATTCATGAAATTATATTTATAATGCCTTCAATCATACAGAGAGTTCCATCAGTGTTCTGACTGCATTAGCCTCCATCACCTTTTTGTTTCTTCATTACTATTTTGCACAGCAAACCTGAAAAGGGCATACAAGTTTTCATGAACTCTATTCAACTGAGACTCCAGAGGTACAGGTTACCCCAACACTATTTTTTGCTTTTTCCCAGGGATGAAAGACAAAGTGACTCTCCCTACCTAGCTTTTATATCCAAGGCATGACTAGAACTCATATTCCCCCAGTTTCTAGCCTGGCATCTTTAATCACTATATCAAACTGGTCTCTAATTATATTCTAGCAGAAATAAAATGTATAGCTTGATCTGATAGTCCAAATTCAAGTCTGGATTTCCAGCATCCTTCATCACTCACCATCATCACTCAGTGTTTTTCATTTGCTTTATGAACCATAAGGCTACCTTAAACCTTATTTATTTATTGTATATGACAATGAAGGAACTAACATTAAAAAGCAGAATGATTTAAGTGTTACCTGCTTTTTTAGCTATTCTTAAATTCAAGCTCTGATTAATTCTACATTATCACTTAAATTATGTTTCCAAATAGTTAATCCCTCCTTTTTAAATGCAAAGGAGCTTTAAAGGGGGAGAAAAGTAGACAGCCTATTTAATCCTTTCTTTTAATCACAAAACAACTTAATCTCTCTTTTATAACTGAGAATATGGATGAAAGCCACATGATCAGAAGTTCAACTATTTAAAAAGCATCCAATTGAAGGCTGCCAAGAATATAGCCTCCTTCTTGCAGTTTACTACTTGTGCCTGTCTATTCCAATTTTATCCTCTTCAGTAGAAAGAAATGACATTATTATTTCATCCTTTAAACACACCTAAAACAGAGGTCAGCAATTTTCTGAATGGAGGTTGCAAAGTATTCCTCTGCATATAGATCACTGGAATGTGGTAATTTTGGACCAGTTTTGAGGACAATATTAAGAGCAGGAATGGGAACTGTAACCCTCTTACATTCCCATACTTAAACAGCTAAAATTAATGCCACCAATGTTCAGTAATAAAATAGTCAGATTTTAGTGGTGCAACGTTGGATTGAGAGAGATCTGCCACTCAGATGCATAAATTCCCACTAAAATTAACCATTCTGCTCCCGAGAAGCTGGGGGAGGGTTACAACTGATGTGCATAAACAGCTCTGAGCTACAAGTTGTTTACCTCTCCTTAATGTGTTCTACATTTAATTATGGTGTTGCTCAAATAAGGCCATATTTGCATTAAAATCTATACATAAATTATTTTATTATGAATAACAATATTGAAGACACTGAAGCCTGACATTAAGAAACTTGTGGGGGGGAGGGGCATGTTTTGGTGTATATGGTGTCAAGCCAGGTAAATCAGGACTTTAAAGATTTATTGCAAGCTTAAGCTCTCTACAAGAATCTGAGCTACTAATGGTCAAAATGTAGGAAATGTAGAAAACGTAGGATTCTTTGTACAGCATAATTCTTGCATTCATCATTCATTTGCTATGTGACAACCAGAGCCATTCTTGATATAAGCACACCAATGATGGAATTGTTTCTTTGTTTAATTATTGCTAGCACCAAGTTAGTTAGCTTTTAGTACAATTAAAGATCTATTGATTGACTTTTGGCAGAACTTATACTACAGTTTTACTTAGCACATCTCAATTTTTTAAATCCTGTTTTATGGCTATATGTTTCAAAATTTTGTATTGTTTTAAATTTTTAGTGATTTAACTTGTCAGTTTTATTACCATGATTTGGGATTATTTTTAAAGAAAAGCAAGCTAAAATTGTTGAACCAATAAAAAATTAATAGCAGAGATTAGTAATATATATAAATATAGCAAGTAGGCAATTAAGTAGAAGATAAAATGAGTGAGAGTAAAACCAGCTGCTAAAGGTATTTGGAGTTTCACTTTACAAAAATACAATTTGCAGCTCCATCATACTTCCAGGATAGTACTGCCCAATTGCTGCTATAATGAGAATATTCCCTCATTGACCTTATCCTGCAATCTCATTTTACATACTTCATTTTCAAAGTAGAACTCGGGTGCCCTAAGGAAAATTTACTCTGAACACGTGTTCCCACTGACACATGCACATCATCTTAAAACCTTTTTATAGATCCAAGCTCTACTCTAGGGATGAAGGTGTTAATCTAACCTTTCTCCTTTATTTAGATTTTTTTTAAAGGTGAGTTATTCCATTTACCCTAACATCATAGGCTGGTACATTTGTCTCTTTTTTAGGCAGATAGTTGTTTAAGAGGGATTGGGAAAACAACTGTTTATATCGATGGTATGCTTCAACAACAGAATTGTTAATACAAACATCATCAGGTCTTAAAAATCTTAGATGTGAAAGATAATGTATGTCCTGTTCACTTAAATACTCCCGTTTACTTGAGCATACTCTGAGATTTGGGTCCAGGCTGTTAAAAGTTTATTCCCAGAGTATAACTCCTATTTCACTTTTCTTTCCCTGCTTAAGATTTTCTTTCCTATGCAAATAAATCACGACCTTCATGTTCGCATACTGAGGCTTATGTGGAAGGGGGAGGGGGGAATCCCACACTGAAAACAGCATCATTTATCCCTTCTCCCTATATAGGGCAACAAGTGTTTTATTAAGTATCATCTTGTTTAACACTGGGACTGCCCTAGCTTTCATCTCAGTGGCTCTAATTGCCAATTCATTTGTTAATTATAATAGTTCTGCAATAATGAGAGATTCTGTTTAAATTTTTAGCCCCAGGACAAATCCCTGCAGTTTTTTGGCAAGCAGAAATCCTTCCTAGGGCTGTGAGTGTGTGGCTAGTTTAAGGTCATCCAGCTGGCTTTGTGCTTAAGGTGAGCCTTATAGTCTCCCAGCTTCTAGGCTAATGCCTTAACTATTGTAATTATTAATTCATTTTTTTATTTTTATATTTTTGCAACAATGAGAGCTTATGTTTAAAACTTTAGCCCTAGGCAATAATCAGATGAAGGCTTCTATTGCTTAAGGCTATCCAATTAACCCCTACATAAAGCAGTAGAGATCATAACATAATATTCTAATGCAGTATTCAATATTGTATCATTTTCTGATTAAGCCAATACTGGCAGATAAAAGGAGCTTAGATTTTCAGTTAAAATAATCTCTGCATTTCTTGAAAAACCTGCCTGTTCAAGAGTGTTCTAATCTTCAGTGTAATATAGTATGATCTAGATCAGTGGTCGCCAACCAGTGGGCTGCGGCCCACTGCTGGTCCATGAGAAAATTTTGGTGGGCTGCAGAGAAATGTCCCCCCAAAGCAATTAATTCAGGTTGTGCGGGAACACAAGGCTGCGCCATCCACATGGCCCGCCTACCCACTGGCCCCCACCCTTCGGCTGAGCGCAAACCTGAAAAAAGCAGCACAGCCCTCGCTGGCCAGGACAAGATAGTGGTGCTGTTGCAGCAAGAGAGGGCTAGCAGCACAGGCGGGCTGAAGCGGTGATGGAGATGGCTGGAAGGTGCAGGAGCGCCGCGCTACTTGCATTTGCATGGCACTCTCGCACCTTCCAGCTCATCTCTCCTGGCTTGGGCTCTTACTCAATGGCCGCGGGTTGTAGGGACGGCCTGGGGCAGGAAAAGTACTGGCTGCTGGTGGTGGGAGGGGCAGAGGGGGCAAGTCTGCACTCACCATCCAGTTCAGAGGTCCAGAATGGGGTGGCGGTGGCAGTTTTCTCATCCCTCTCAGCGCTTTACTGCCCCCCCCACCCCCAATCGCTGCCCGAGGAAAGCACAGGAAAAGTGAGCAGAAACATAGCTCTCGTTGGGGCGAAATAGCTGAGATTGAAGAAGGTACAGACAAGAGAAGACGGAAGCTGCTGCCTTTGAAAAGCACTGCTTTCTGTTGCCTGTGCCTTCCCCGATCTCCGCTCTTTTGCCCCAGCAAGAGATATGTTTCTGTTCGCTTTCTTTTCCTGTGCTTTCTCCAGATAGTGATGGCCGGGGCCGGGTGGGG